GCCCACTTTAAAACTCAGTAAAGTCAAACCTCTGAGTCCATGTCATGGTATTTGACGTTCTGTACACGACCACAGATAACGTAGTTGGAAGCATCTGGGTGACTTGGAGCTCGTAATTTCGCTAACAAATGTATATATCTGGCCGCTAAATATTGGGCCGCTAATGTGTTCTACCCACTCATTTATAGCACACTGATCTGGAAAGTCAACTTGTTTAGGTTGCATTTGCGTGCTTTGGTGGTTCATGAGCTTGCTTAGCCTGACAAACTTTTGCACACTGCCGTACTTCCGTACGTCATCATCGTTTACAATCTGTAAAAGGGTCTATACTGCGCTTCGGTGTTGATGACCGTATTAACAAACATTTACAATGAATTACGTAAACCACATGGTCAACTTGTAACCTGGTCTGGGGCCCCGGGGCTGTGCCCGCTTTACCCAGTTTATGGTCCAGCCTTGATGGAGGTGTTTAGTTCCCTCTCCGAATCAGTTGAGGGTATGATGTCGATAAACAACGAGAGAGTTTGTACTAACTGGAGTTCAATTCTACGAAAGTCTCATTTGTTGAGCTACCTTAAGACTGTCATATCTCAGCCTCTCACCACGGCCTGTCTCCACATCTGCCTGTCTGCCATCTGCTTGGCAGCCACTTCAATAATAGCTTGCAGCTGCAAAGGAAGGAGGGGGCTGGGGGGGGGGGGGGGGTCTGGTGGAAGGAAAAACCCAGAGGGGCTAGAGGTAAAGGGAGGGCAGGCGGGTGGGGAGGGAGGAGAGAGGGCGGGAGGAGGAAGGAAGGACGGGGGCGGTGAAAGCAGAGCTGTGATGCAGACAGCGAATCACATGAGCAGGGATCTGTTTACAAACTGTAGACAAGAAGTGGGGAAGGGAGACGAGGAAGGAGAGAGAAGGGGAGTGAATGTGAGAAGAAGAGAACACACAGAGAGAGGAGACGATCTGAATTCACATTAGCAGCATTGTCTTCCTGTGTCATATACCTCCCAGTGTTCTTTGTTCAGAGCGTGGAGGCAGGGGACGAGATGAGACGCTGCTTTCCACAGGGACACTGAGGCCGTCCGCCTGGTTGGCTGGCCGTGCTGCCGGGGAAACCCATCCATGTCCTTTCCTTTTGTCTCTCCATAATTGGCCGCGGCAGGTTTTCACAGCCGGAGAAGAGGGGAAAGCGACGTGGAGATCTAAAAAGGAGAGGACAGAGGAGAGAGACAGGAAAGGAAAGGAGGGGAGAAAAGAAGGGAGGGAGATCCTTGTGACAATGTTTTGAAGGGGAGGCAAAACAAGAAAAGCAGGGACTGCGCTCGGCTAAAGGTACATATCCAGAGCACTTGATGGGATTTGGAGTGTATTTCGATACTGCCAGTGACATTGGTTTGGTTTTATTCAATAGGCTCATCTCCAAGGCTTTTGTCTTTGTCCTTTAGTGGCAAATCACCACTGAAGGCTGCGGTTCAAATGAGCAGCTGGTTATCTTGGTAATGTCTTCTCGAGAATCTGGGAGTATTTAAACAGATCTGCTTACTCCAGACCACAAGGATTTAACTCGCTGCACATCTGTTCTAACGTCAGGGTTATGCTAGTCTGGACCTTTAAACGTAGTGGACGAACAGGTCAAAACTTGAGCTTTTGGGGAAACCAGACTTTGTGATATCGGAGAGGTCACAACCCCAAAGATTTCCTGGGTCTGTCAACCGAACATTTGCATATTTCATGCATCCTGTCCAATGGTGTAACGGTAAGTGTGGAGTTTTTTTCCCTGTAAGCTCAAACTTAGCCTAGAAATAAGTTTATTAGTTGGAGACTATAAATCTCTTACTAGTTGGAAATTAAAGCAAACAGGCGGTATAGTTTATCCTATCGAGGCTCCGGGGACATCTTTGCACTCATCGCCTAATCAGGTGGTAGCATAGACGCCATATAAAACACCGGCACACCTGTCGCTGTGCACTCTTTTTCAGTCAGCCACCTTGAGTAACTGCTGGCTTTGTTGCAAGTTGTCTCTGAAACACTCGGGCTGCGTCACTAGCTACCACTAGCTTGCTAGCTGTAGCTACATAATAACTTGCCAGCACTTGTTAAACTGGTTTAGCACTAACTAGCAACAATATCCTACTTCGCTGGCCAGCCCCCCAGTGGTCATGGCAATCTACGTTCAGACTACGGGCCTGGTTCTTTCAAACTGTCCCAAGTATTCGCCATCTCACAGCCCGGCTCCCACACAGGTCATTTGTGATGATTCCACAGGTCCACGATCACAGAAGGTTTCAACACCAAGGCATGACGTCCATTCTCCATTACTCCATCCCTGATGGGGTAAACCAATAGTGAAGCCCGTTAGAGAGCTATGCATGCACGTGCGCGCTAACTGGAGTTACATCTAGGTAACTATTATTTGTTTTGTGAAGAGTAGTTGTTACTAAATATTTACACCTAGTAACTGCTAAGTGTAACTGTCAACTAGCTGACAGAGCTAAAGTTGGCTTGCTAATATAATGATGTTTAATAAAGATGTAAATTGGGAATATTTCAAATTGCATGTTTCCTAGCAACCATTTTAAATCTTTTTAATTTAGTGAATCACTAATTTGAAACTTGCTAGTAGTTAAGAGTTTTGGAAGGATTTTCCACACACACTTACCGCTGGATCCATGAATAGCTTACCACAACCCAAACCTAATGTGAAATATTTTACACACAGTCACAACGTGACCAATAATTAACTATGATCAAAATGGGTTTATTATGTGTTTTAGCACTGACATGACCTCAAATATATATTCCAAACAAAACAACAACTAGGACCTCTAAACAAAGATTTGATACAATCAGTTTCTATAACCTACCAGTCAAAACATGTCAAACCAAAAGCTACTGTTTCTGTGTAACGGTGTTACAGGTACAGTGGTATCCAGACTGCATACATTTGCACAGTGGCCTACCTTTTTAGCGCTTCACCATCAATGATTTACAAACGTCGTGCTAAGATTACAGCTGCTTCGTCCTTCACCCAAATCTCCTATCAAACGCTCCCTAAACCCCCCCACTGTGCATGTACAAACCAACCCAAGACTGCATCCTCAGGCTGTGACCTCTGTCGATTAAAGAATGACTTTTGGACCAGGAGGTCACCGCCACCACTGTAGAAAATGTGCCACTTGACCTTAAGAAATAGTTAACTACTGCAGTTTAAGGCTGACGTGCACTGTGGGGAATGAAAACTGCATGTTCGAGCCCCTCAGGCCGAAAACACTTATTTCTTGCTGAGCCCAAACTCCAGCGAGTAGCTCGTCTCAGGCCGAGATGCGGAGCAAGAAGTGGAACACATTCCTGTGTGACCCAAGGATGGTTGTAAAAGTTCACTTGAAAGCGGAGAGGTGTTTTTGCTTGGATTTTTATGTACTTTGTGAATAGGTTTCTCCTATTTAAAGCCAATTGCAGTTTAAATATACCAGCAATAAAAAAAGAGTCAAAAGTTATTTCCCCAACCTCAGTTCTCTCCTTTTCTCCCACTTTCTCGCTTATATAATTAATATTTGGCACCTCCACAGTTGTTTATTACGCACTGCCTCGACACATGCACTCATATTTCAACTTTCACCTTCGTTCAAAAACTTGAGCGCATGCTCGAGAATCCGTGTAAGCAGTGTTACATTGCAATTTGAAATACGATGCTTCACAGATGCGGTGCGGTGCCAGAGCGCCAGGCCTTTCAGGTTACACAGATCCGTGCGCCGCATCGTCGCCAAAGGCGGTGGACACAGACAGAGTGAAGTATGATGGGATATGTTGGTCATGAAGACCTGTCTGGACCATAGAAACATATTGGCAAGGCTCTGATAGAGCTCAGAGTGATAACATCTCAACAAATGGACTCAAAGATGAAAATATACAGTGAGGGGCGCGGAAGGGTTTCCTGTAAGATAATAGAGATGGCTACTTGTCATACTGGGAACAATTAATTACAGCATTGTCTTGCACCTTAATATTAGCCATCATAGAGGATGGGCATTTGTGGGAGGCCCCACAACAAAGTGTTGATTTGAGAACAGGCGGCCAAAAAAACGTGCATTCTCTTTAAAGGCCAGCAGGGGGCGACTCCTCTGGTTGCAAAAAAAAGTCTGATTGTATAGAAGTCTATGAGAAAATGACTACTTCTTACATGATTTATTACCTCAGTAAACATTGTGAACATGAGTTTACTCTAGTTTCAAGTCTTCTTCAATACAGCATGATGTTTTAGTAAGTTATGGTCCTTAATTAAAGGCGTGTCTATCTTGTGATTGACAGGTCGCTACCAGAGCTGTATGGTATCTCTACCACGCCGTCACTGCTCCGCAGTCCAAATATGGTCACAAAACAAGATGGCAATGGCCATAGTCCTCTCACCAGTGGGAGTTGTCACAGCGACTGAATCCACTTCTTATATTCAAGCTATGGTTGGCAATAGCTGCTGGCACCGGTTAGGTACCACTTACAGGTACACACCCTTGAACAGAGAAACCCATCTCTGTCATGGTTTTCTTTTGTGTATGGTGTAAAATAGTCAGTAGCAACCTGTGACACAATTATGCAGTAGGGTCTGTCATAAGATGTGTCGAAACTACCCTTCGCCACTAATCAGAGCTACACCTAAATCTAATTCTAACCTTAGAAATTAAGTTTCAAGGCTAATATGAAAGTTCAAAGTTGTAGGCGACCACCATTCCACCTTCGTATGTGCAGTAAAGTTCGTCCCCACAAACAGAGTGGGCCTTCAGGGCTGGGCCCTTTGAGAACCCAAGACAGAGAAGAAGTTGTCCAATAATTACATCATTCGTAAAGAAATTAAATCTTGAAAGCTCACCCACACTACTCCAAGCCGTTTTTTGCTAACATCATTCAAAGTGATGAACAACGCGTCTAAATCTCTCAATGCTTTCCTTTCAAATGGATTGCCAGTCTTTAAAGGCCATGTGTAAAGCACTTTGTGTTGTAAGTCATACATTTTAGTATTCCTAAATGCCACATGCTGTTGGCTGCATTCCTTAGATCTGACTGTAGCTTTGTTTACTGTGAGTTTTCATGTTTAAAAAAAAAAAGACATTTTCATAAGTCTTCAGAATGTGTTTGAAAACGTGAGTATGTGTATTTGCATTACGACCAACATTAGGGTTTAACGGTTGCCTTGTTCTTTGTGTTGGGTTAGTTTGGACTTGCATTCATGCCAACCTTTTATGAAAATATTTTATGTTGATAAGATGGATATGATGCAGTTTGATAAGTAGTATTTATTGTCGAAATGCTTAATAATTCACCATCTGTAAGAAAGGTCGCTTCAAGTATGCATAAATATTTGAACTGGTAAATACATACTCAATGGATACTTCAGAATGCTTATTTTGAAATGCGTTTTCAGAGGCGTTTCTCCCTAACGACACTACAAATCTTTATTGCATTTTGTCATTATGAAAATCGCCTGTGACTGCTGTGATACTGTGCTGGTGTAACCCTCATAAACAACATTGCTTTAGCCGTATTAATACCAGTTGCTTTGCTCCCGTTTCCATTCTGTGTAATCATTTTGTTTCCGTGTGTCCCATCCTCTCAGGGTGTCTGTGTGACCTTGGATTGCAGAACTCCGACCGCTACTGCAAGATGACATCTGAGGAGCTCTTCCACCTGCCGCTCAACGTCTACATCATTATCCTGGGCATCGGTCTCTTCATCCTTATGCTCACGCTCATCTTCTGCTGCTACATGTTCAGGTACAACGGATGGGTTAGAGCTCCCGGGACTGGATTCACACAGTCACAGTCGTCATTTTGGATTTACACAGTCTGTCAAATGGGCAATAATCTTGTGGCTTTAGCATATTTCTAATAAATTGCATTGCACATCCTTTGTTCATGACTCGATTGTGACTAAAATTAATGAAATTTTCTCTGTTTTAACCTCTAAACCAATATTTCACTATCCCTGCCTGTTCAGTTTGTTCCATCTTAATATTAGACTAATAGACTTACATCATACATTCACATTAGCATCATAATCTTTTAACAGGGCACTTATGAAAGGAAAGCAATATTTGGCAATTTCAGCCAGTTTTACTTCATTTATTTACATGTTTACACATGACATTGTAAGTGGGCATTGAGCATCATTTTAGAGTTTAAAAGTATCAAATAATTCAAATTAAATCTAAGAGCAGCAGATGCAGCAAATGCGTTTTGTAATATGTGGGCACGCCAATAAACTTCTGTAATCACAAACTGTTAAAAAATGTCATTTAATACCACATGGGCTTTTCAGGTCTAGAAACATGGATTTTCTTGCAGTGTAGCTGGTTGAAAACTGCACATTCACTATTGTTGGCCCGTGACTCTTTCTGTATATGGCCCAAAATCAAAAAGGTTTGGCCACCCCTGTCTTAGAGTGCCACAGATCACTAACCTGCAACCTTCGGTGCACACCAGAAGATGTTTTCTGATCTTCGGATAACTTTCTATCGTCCTGCCTCAACTACTTCAGTTTGTCACGGGACATAATGAGGACTCAAATGCAGACAGTCAGAGTAGTGAACAAAAGGGTTTTAATAACTCACGAAACAAAAAAAGGTAATCCAAGGACGAGACAAGGCAGGGCAAAAACAGGGCAGACAGACTGGGAAACCGGGAACAGGAAGAGCAAAATGGGTGGGTGGGTGGGTAGGTAGGTAGGTAGGTAGGAAACAATGATCTGGCAGTGAGTGAGTGAAAGACAGGGGTATGAATAGTGACTAGAACAGGTGAGGAGAGTTGTGCTGATGAGGGAGAGTGTGACTGGCAGGCGCACTGAATGAACTGATTAGGGACAGGTGAAGGAAGTGAGGAGCTACAGAAAACCACACACAAAACACCCAAGGCAAAGCCTGATTGTGACACAGTTAGTGACATTCTGTATTTTTATTCTTGTTACAAACTGGGTTTCAATATTTGAACGCAGAGGCCTCTCGTGGTGTTACATGGTGCGTTGGCTGTTATTTGGCAATGACAAAGGTTTAAGAGAAAGCTGCTTCAGGCATTTGCAGACAGGTTGGAATTATGTCAGTCAGTGGGATGCTGTCTACTTCCAGGATTTCTGGGAAAACCTGCTCAAAGATTTGCTTTTGCAAAAGAGGTTATGCTCTATTGATTTATTTGGCTGTCAGAGAGACATCTGATCTGTAAAAGAAGGTTGTGATTCTGTTAATTGATGTAAATTTATTTAGCGATGGCAAAGCCCTAAAATCGGTCACTTCCAATAAGGTTTCAAACGTGAAAATGGTGTGCAACTCAAATGCATTTTTTAAATTGTTCACTGAGCCTAAAATAACGGTGATACATTTATGCTTTCAACAACTTAGGATCAACTTAATAAAACAGAAATTCAGTCAGAATACCTTTTATAAAGGGAAACATTTTGAGCATATAGGCGCACAGGCTGTTACTTGAATTTGGCCTTGTCTGAATTCCAGGGCTGTTTGACGCAGTATCTCAGCTAATTCATAAGGCGTGACAAAACATGTCCTGTAGAAGACGCATATGGAGCACCAGGCACATACTACAATTTCTATGATACGTTTTTCTTTTTTCTTTCTGCTTCACAGACTTAGGCGACAAGGTGCAAGAGAACAGTACGGTTACAACGAGGTAATGTGTTCTTACTGCTGTGTATCCAGTTTGAGTCGTGTCAAATTGTTACTCAGAGTATGTTCATTTTTATTGTTTTATTGTTTATTTTATTGTCGCAACTCAATTCTCATCAACAGGTTGTTTTGAAAGGAGCGGGGAAGAAGCTGAGCCTAATTGGCGTAAGTTGAATACATAGTGAATGGAAATCAATCAGCTCAATGTTTACTGGCTAATGGGACGGAATGAATGTGGAAAACATGCTGTAAACTGGCGGTTTTGGTGTTTAAAATGTAGCAAAAAAAAGCGATAGCTACAATTTGTAAAGGAGGTTCTGTTTGTTTTTCAGTAGCTAATCTCTGGTACACTGTTGCAGTAGTGTGTAAAATTGAGCGTAGACCCTTTTCATTACCTTTTTGTTGCTAGGGCAATAGCTTTAGTCCAAGTTTACTCTCTGTTAGCATATTGCGTCAACAACTATTTGAACAGGAAATACAAAAGGGCCAAAATAAAATGTTTATGTTGTCAAGTTTTAAAAAGTCTATGCTAAATTGAGACTATAGCATATTAGCTTAATATTAGAGAGTGGTGTGGTCAGACAAAATTCACACAACAGAAATAGGAGCTAGTCACAGCGAGCAGCAAACTGTAAATTGTAGGCTATAAGGCTAGTTTGGTGCACATTTCCGATCATTACCTAAATGGTAACGTGGTAATGTTTATATATTGCATGCCAAAGGCAACAACTTAATATTGTAGTACATACTGTACAATATTCACATGAATAAGTGGTTATGGCAGTAATAAAATGATAGCAGTGCAGTCGTGATAAATGAAAGACCTTCACAGTATTAACTGCAGAATGCATTATCGTTCTAACTGTTTAAACGCTATATACTGTGGAGTGCTTGTATCAGGATACTCTGTATTAACTGAACATGGTTCAGGTGTCGGTTATGAACTGATTTTAAAACCTGTTTTGTTTCCCTGTTCAGCAAACGTGTGCGGTGTGCTTAGACGAGTTTCGCAGCAGGGACGAGCTCGGAGTGTGCCCGTGCTCCCATGCTTTTCACAAGAAGTAAGTCCTACAACTGTGCTTGGTGATTGTCAAACTTTAATGAGAGTGGACAAGCTGACTCTGTATTTGTGAACGTGCAAACTCTATTTCAAAGTTACAGTCAAAGGAAACAGACTGGAATCATTTGTTGTTGGCTGTTTCACAAATTGGTGCAGCTAATTTTATTGACTGATACATTATGCTTGAAACGGAAGACAATCGCCAATTGAAACCATGTGTGGAATTGCACTTTTGGAGCAGCCATTGAGTCTGCAAATGTCCATGGCTCCATATAGGCCTCACTTTACAAAAAAAAAAAAAAAAAAACATATTATTCTAGCCTTAGTTTTTCTTAACATTGTGGACTAGCCGGTTTCGAAGGAATGACTCACAAATGCCTCTTCGTCATGGATTTGTGTCTTTAAGTTAACATCCAAAGCAGTCGGAGAAGCAGTGGAATTCAGAAAAGCGTTATCGAGCAAGTTTTTTTTTTTTTGGGAGATGCCCTGCAGAGACTGACGAGCAAATTCTGGAAACGTCCTTGCATGTTTGAGCATGAGTGCACTTTTAAACAACGCAAGCTGTTTTTGCCCTGCAGCGTTGGCGTGATATTGATAACTTGTCTCTCTGACTGACACTTCTCTACCTGCATTACCAGTGCCTTGAACTGTGTACACATATCGTGCATGACTGTCTGTCTAATCCTGTTTTACGACCCTCAATTAGGCTGTTTGAACTCCTTTTTCTCATCTTGACTGCTGAAGTTTCCACCTGTGTAACTTTGCGCTATTTGGCTTACTTTGAAATGACAACACGTGGTAATGTGTCTCTCATCTATCCGCGTTTCCCAGGTGTCTGCTGAAATGGTTGGAGATCCGCAGTGTCTGCCCCATGTGCAACAAGCCCATTTGCCGCTTCCAGCCTAACCCGCCTCCAGCACCTGAGCGGCCCCAGAGTCTGCTGGAGGTCTGAGATGGAAAACGGCATTACCTTACACTCTACAGTCAGTGGACACCTCACTATAGACCCTGTCTCACCACCCAACAGTTTGTAGTTTTAGTAATGTAGACATTCTTTCAGGTAGGGCTACGCTAGAAGAAGAAATTGTATGATTGTCTGAGTTAAACCTTAAGTGCAGAGCCAAAGAGCCTATTCTGGGTAAATTAAATGGGGGCTTGGTATATTAAGGCTAACTATCAAGCCGAGATACTGCTATTTTCAGCACATAGCCGGATGCTAAATCTAAGTGCCTTAGAGCTGCAGATAGATGATAGACTACACTCCTCAGCATTGGCACACAACAATGAGGATTCCTGCGTATGAAATCCCAATTCACTGCTCATTATAGATCGGTTATGTAGGAACTGATGACTGAAGAATTGTGGTCAACAGCCCTGAAGTGTCTGGCTTAAAGCTTGGATAGGTATCATTGGAGGAACGAGCACAAGTAAGCTAAATTTAAAAAAAAATGATCCAACTGAAAAGCCCAGCCCAGTGTTGCCAACTCCTCTCCGACAACAGTAGCTGATAGCGCTAGCCCTTAAAGTCGATAAATCTAGCAAAAAAGTCAGGCCTTCCACCAAAGCCACTCCCCCAAAATGATCACAATGAGCTTAAACAACGAACATGGTCGTTGTTGGCACTCGCAGCTTGTAGAGCCAAGCCCCAGGAAGACTGCCCGGCTTTGAAGCAACTTTTTACATAATGGCCAAACAGTGGAATTACAACTTCCGGGTCCGTCACGTGATGCCCTGGGGCCCAAAAATACTTTTACCCTATTGACTTACATTGGGAAAAGGGTGTTTGCGAATCAGCAGATATTTTTCTCTAAAATAAATGTATTTTATTTGAATATCATTAGGTCCTAAAACGTTGTGGAGACTAAGGCCTGGAAGACAGGGTTTAAGAAAATGCTAGTGCCCTCTCTCTATTGGTCCATGGATACGGAAGAACGGGGTGATCTTATCTGAATTTTGTACTTGAAAGTCAAACTTGTTACTTCATGCGCCACTGAGCAGATAGGGGATTATATGACTTTTTTGTCAGAGCATTTGATTTACTGAGAATAGAACAAAAAACAGGTTTCTAAACTACTTTAACTGCCAAGCTAACAGTGAGACATACATACTAAACTTCTCAATTCCACGGATGTCACAAATGCAAATTCTACATTTTTCCACAGCCTGTTTTGGCAGTAAGGGTGCTACTGTTTAAAAAAATGTTTTAACGGGCTTCAGTTTAATCAATCCTGCAGAAAACTGTGGCTATACCTTCACCCAATGAAGTTTGATTGGATTATTGAGGAGGAACTAATAAAAATTACAGCACAACATGTGCAATCAAGACAACAGAGTCAGCGTTTCACAACAACATGGGGGCATCAAATTCCTGGTTTGAGTGGCAAGTGAAGAACAGAAGAGCTTCTGCGTGTCTGTATCTTCGAAGTTGTGCTGGTATGTGAAGTGTCACCGCTGTGTCACCGCTGTGTCACCGCTGTGTCACCGCTGTGTCACCGCTGTGTCACCGCTGTGTCACCGCTGTGTCACCGCTGTTACCCAACTAAAGAGAATATTTCTGCCCCCCAGAGCAGCTCCGTCTCTGAGAAATGTTTTGGTGACAAATTCCTACTCTGCCCGTTTTCACTTCCCCCCCTGCCCCCAAAAAAATGAACGTCTTGGTGCGTCCGCCATCACTTTTAAGAGCATGGAGCTTGGAAAGATGTAAGATTGAAGCACCAGACAACAAAAAAAGCCACTCACTGCTGCTCCAAAGTCGATGACAAAGACGAGGACTGTAATGAAAGACGTGCGTGAAAAGAGGACTTTTAACAAAACGGGACAATTGTGAACTTACAATAATCGGGGCTGAGTGTATTTTGACTGTAATCTTTTGTTGTCTCACAAACACGCAGCTCCATCCCACAGTGTGTTGCCAAGCCGAGTGAAGGTAGCGAAGCCCTAAACGGCAAGACAGTCGCGTCAAATGGTATCTGATAGAAACTACAACCAAGTAAATGAACACACACATTTGTAATTAATATATATAACCATGCATACATTTTTTTCTGAGGAACTGTTTTGTATCATAACTGGCTTTCAGTAAAAAGGCATTGTGTGTCAGTCATGCTATAATTTGTCAAATAGCTGGATGTTATTGTTGCTGGTGGGACAGATGAGCTCTGTACTGTAGTGATATAAATAGACACGCTGCACTGATATGAAGAGCATGTTTGAGCTGGTTTTCTGTCCGAGTGAGGTGCCCCATACACCATCATTCTCTGTATGTACCGTGTAATATACTATTATGAGTACTGTGTAAATTGTAAATGCTTTTCAATTTTCTGAAGTTAGAAAAAAAAAAATATATATATGTAACCGGTGTTTTGATATGGTCATCTGGATTCAAGTCTTTTTTTTTTTTCTAGTTTTGCTACATGTCAACACTTAATAATGTTTATTTGTAAGCTGTCGTTATAATATATACATGGACAGGTCATGCTATTGTGCTGTTGGTGCCCTGCCTTTGTTTTAGGTGCTTTTGGTCGATCTTACTTGCTGTGTGTGTGTATGTGACAGAAGGATTTCCACCGATATGGTGCCACCTTTTAAATGATCCTAAAGATCGACCATCCTAAATGATGTTTTACCAGAATGGATCCTTGGAGCCATCTGTGACAATAAATTCTTCCTGAATGATATATCTAGTAGAGGTTCTGAGAGAAGAATACTTGACGACCAGAGATTTATGAGGCAGATTTATTCTCCCTTCCTGTAAATTCCCAGTAATCCCACACAAGACCCTCGGCCCCTGGAGCTGTATTCACCACTTAATTTAAACCAGGAGTGAATTCCCAATTCATCCCACCTAACTCTCAATGGGGCTTCCCCAAGTTCCATGTGCAAAAGCACAACAAAAGGAAGTGCTGAGAATGTCTACTCAGTCTACTGTGGAGTTCTTCATGTTGTTACCATAAGAAGTAAACACAAAGTTGAACATGCAGGTATGGAGATGCACATGAATGCAAAAAAAATGTGCACCACACACACAGACAACACAAAGCTACTATGCGGTGAGCAGATGTCTGGAAATTCCCTGCTCAGCCATGACATAGGGGTACTTGCACAGTCATGAAAGGTTTTTGAGTGTGCTGATCTTCCATTATTGACATTGACTAACTGCAAGACTTGCCGAGACAATTAAGAGGCGGAAATCTCGTTTCACTCCCCCAAAACACAGCACTGTAAATGTGGTGAGTTCTGTGTTCCCACAGACATCCGTTGGCAGATAGAAAGCAGTCCGCACTCCAACGTCACAAAGAAATCTATCGAAAAGTAGATATTTAACCACAAAGAGTCCCAGATATGAGAGAGCATTTCTGCACATAAAGTGCCTGATTAAACCTCGTGGAGGGAATGTTGAGAGGCTGGAGAGTATTATCATGAATGGAGATGACTGATCCATCACTGCAAACATCTCTCACTAAACCTCTTAGAATTGCAGGCTAGAATTTGATTTACGTAGCCCAATATCACAAATGACAAATTAGGGGCTTTACAATAAAATCAAAATAGTTTGTAAAGTTGTCATTAAGGAGTGTCTCTATTATTTCTTTCACTCCATCAGAATGCAATCAAACACATTAGTTATGCTTTCTAGAAGGTAGAGATGGTGTCCCCCTACTAATATTAGGGTGTAAATGTGTTTAAAATGAAAACGCCATCCATCTATCCAATGAAAATTAACAAAACGTACCCTCGGACATGAAGCATATACTGTCAGTATCACAACAATAAGCCAGCTCAACCAACAGCAACTGTACTGTTTGGAGCCAATGACCTGCAATAACAAGAGGATGAGTTTCAGAAGCTGAAGCATAAAATCCACTCTAACGCCTGAGATGGTGGTGGGTCTCCCATCTCACATAAGAAACTGGATGTAAATTGATGTCCTGAAGGAATGTCTGTTCTGCTGAGACATGTCGCTGGGGTTTCGTATTAGGGGATGTCCTTACTCTGGTGGGCATGTCACTGCAACATTTAGCACCAAATTCAGTGGGACTCTTCTTGTATTGTTACCACAGACAAAAAGAGGGTTTCGCTCTGGAACTCTAAATCGTTATATATACAGTGGGTACGGAAAGTATTCAGACCCCTTTAAATTTTTCACTCTTTGTTTCATTGCAGCCATTTGCTAAAATCAAAAAAGTTCATTTTATTTCTCATTAATGTACACTCAGCACCCCATCTTGACAGAAAAAAACAGAAATGTAGAAAGTTTTGCAAATTAATTAAAAAAGAAAAACTGAAATATCACATGGTCATAAGTATTCAGACCCTTTGCTGTGACACTCATATTTAACTCACATGCTGTCCATTTCTTCTGATCCTCCTTGAGATGGTTCTACTCCTTCATTGGAGTCCAGCTGTGTTTAATTAAACTGATTGGACTTGATTAGGAAAGGCACACACCTGTCTATATAAGACCTTACAGCTCACAGTGCATGTCAGAGCAAATGAGAATCATGAGGTCGAAGGAACTGCCCAAGGAGCTCAGAGGCAGAATTGTGGCAAGGCACAGATCTGGCCAAGGTTACAAAAGAATTTCTGCAGCACTCAAGGTTCCTAAGAGCACAGTGGCCTCCATAATCCTTAAATGGAAGAAGTTTGGGACGACCAGAACTCTTCCTAGACCTGGCCGTCCAGCCAAACTGAGCAATGGTGGAAGAAGAGCCTTGGTGAGAGAGATAAAGAAGAACCCAAAGATCACTGTGGCTGAGCTCCAGAGATGCAGTAGGGAGATGGGAGAAAGTTCCACAAAGTCAACTATCACTGCAGCCCTCCACCAGTCGGGGCTTTATGGCAGAGTGGCCCGACGGAAGCCTCTCCTCAGTGCAAGACATATGAAAGCCTGCATAGAGTTTGCCAAAAAACACATGAAGGACTCCCAGACTATGAGAAATAAGATTCTCTGGTCTGATGAGACCAAGATTGAACTTTTTGGCGTTAATTCTAAGCGGTATGTGTGGAGAAAACCAGGCACTGCTCATCACCTGCCCAATACAATCCCAACAGTGAAACATGGTGGTGGCAGCATCATGCTATGGGGGTGTTTTTCAGCTGCAGGGACAGGACGACTGGTTGCAATTGAAGGAAAGATGAATGCGGCCAAGTACAGAGATATCCTGGAAGAAAACCTCTTCCAGAGTGCTCTGGACCTCAGACTGGGCCAAAGGTTCACCTTCCAACAAGACAATGACCCTAAGCACACAGCTAAAATAACAAAGGAGTGGCTTCAGAACAACTCTGTGACCATTCTTGACTGGCCCACCCAGAGCCCTGACCTAAACCCAATTGAGCATCTCCAGAGAGACCTGAAAATGGCTGTCCACCAACGTTTACCATCTAACCTGACGGAACTGGAGAGGATCTGCAAGGAAGAATGGCAGAGGATCCCCCAAATCCAGGTGTGAAAAACTTGTTGCATCATTCCCAAGAAGACTCATGGCTGTACTAGCTCAAAAGGGTGCTTCTACTCAATACTGAGCAAAGGGTCTGAATACTTATGACCATGTGATATTTCAGTTTTTCTTTTTTAATAAATTTGCAGAAATTTCTACATTTCTGTCAAGATGGGGTGCTGAGTGTACATTAATGAGAAATAAAATGAACTTTTTTGATTTTAGCAAATGGCTGCAATGAAACAAAGAGTGAAAAATTTAAAGGGGTCTGAATACTTTCTGTACCCACTGTATATTTATTTTTTTGCTGAAAAGCTTTGTCCAAAATAAACAAATAAATGTATACATTTGAGTTAATTTATAATAATTGTTGTCCACATTATTGTGGCTGTGTTGAATGCTAAAAAAAAATTGAAATTATTTGATACATTTAATAAAAACATTTTTTGTTATTGTAATTCTATAGGGCCACTATTTCACACAAATATTGTTTGCTTGATACAGTTACTGCAAAATGTGCTGTTTCCTCCCTTTTTTAAAATGTCTTCTAATCTGTTGCTGTCCTGATTCAAAAAACAATTCCTGTGACCAAATGAGGTCAGGCATGGGCACCCCTGCATTTCAAAACAACACTTCATTATGATACAGAAATGAGAGGTAAGGGAGGGGGAGGGGTCGGAAAAGAATCAATACAGACACATATACAGCAATAATGAGTGCTCTTTAAGAAAAGTGGCATTTTGTAAAGCTTGCATAGGCCGTAAGGAGGTGCTTCGAGCGCCCCCTGCTGGCAACTTTAGAGTAGACACTACTTCCTTTTTTATTTCTATTTTTATAATTACCATTATTAATAGTATTTAATTATTGTTTATTTATTGTTTTATTTTTATAATTTGAGTTATTTTTTTATTCAATTGTTTAGACCCTTCTTCCTCGTGTATTGCTATCACCGGAAAATACGTAGTTGTATCTTCAAAATAAATGTATTGGATTTGTCAATCGTGTTTGTAATTATTAGAAAAGTACTGAGTCACTGGACTTTCTTGTATTTCATGCTATATGTGTAATTCCAGTTCAGTTCCACATTCTTTCTTTCCCACATTTCTGTTAAATTGCCTCCACCACATTGTTTGGCTATTTGTATGTGTTGTGAAATGTTGTTTTTGAAGGCTTTCATGACTTATGTTGTATTTATTTTGCTACAGATTATATAATTATTTGAGAATAAAGTACATATCAATGGGGGCATTTAGACAGAAAATGTCCATCTGTTTTGTTTTTAATTGTGCGGAACGTTGCTTTTCTGGTCAGATTACATTTATTCTGAAGGATCCAGACCGGAAAACGTAATGTTGTTGAGGCTCGCGGAACACGCGCGAGGGAAATTGAGTCGTTAACGTGAGTGCGAAGAAGGCAACAAGGAAACTTAGATAAAGTTAGGAGGTCGTTTTATTTCGTGTTAAATGTTTTTTTGCCGCAATAGCACGCACTGGAGCAGTTGACCAGCCAACGGAGGTCACATTATTAGCAACTAAGCTAAGTAACTTCACCCTGTATGCGCAGAGTGTGTACGTTTGTTAGCCCGCTAGCCAAGCATAGCTAACTTCACTGGCGACTGTAAGTAACGTCGACGTTAAGCCACTAAGCTAAGTTGTACTTTAGTATAAACCATTTCACTTGCTGTTTTTTTTACCTCCAGACCTAAAGAAAAAAAGAGACGTTTGTTGTAGTGTCGTTAGCTGCAGTTGGGAATGTCGCCTCCTCTGTGTCTGTCGTTGTACGGTCGCAGGAGTCATGAAGGGTCAACGAACATATTAGACAGCGATTCAGAGGAAGAGGTACGTTCACTGACCTTTGTATTTAACGTTACTCAGACTGTCTTAAACGTCACTTAATTCATAAGTAAGACTATTTCCATTTTCTTACCTTTCTGACAACTGACAATTATATTCCCCATCTCTGCGCTGTCCTGCTTACCTTCTGGTAACATGTAACGTGAATGCCTCAACTGACACCTAAAGTTAACATGTGGTATTGCTTTAATACTAGCTAGCCTTTGAAGCTGACATGACTTCATGCAATGCAAATGCAGCTGCGTGGCTTTTTTTTAAAGCTGTAACCATTGACTGTGGATTTTGTGTCCTTTACCACAGACCAAGCTCCCCCTCAAACAGTTCTATCCATACATCCGCTGTGCCCTTTGCTGTGGCTTCCTCATCGATGCTACCACCATCACGGAGTGCCTGCACACATGTGAGTCATATCTCAGGACTATGTTAGCCTTGGAGCTCTCAGAGGAGCTTCAGGGAGTTCCACATGAGTACATATCATTGATTGGGTTTCTCCTTTGGGAATCAAACTTTTTGGAATACAGTGAGGCTCACAGGAAACAAGGGGATTGACGTGCAAAAAGGATCCCAACTGGGGATGCAGTGGTTTTATATCAGGATGCCCATACAAACATTTAATTCCCACCATGATGTCTCTGTGCCACATACGTCCGAGATTACACAAGAGGACACCTGATAAACCGTGCAATATGTCAGCCAATATTTGTTCCTCACCTACATACAGTGACAAGAGAAATGACCTCCAGTGTCTCCATTGTTGTTCAAGCAATGATCTTTGACAAGTTGACAAAACATACTGCTCACTAAATATCTCAAGCATGCTATAACAATAATTTTCCAAACATGTTTTTAAAAAAAATATAGCTATTTGATCTCAAATATTGATCTGTATATCGGACTTAAAAATTCCTATTAGTCTGGCTCTGCGACATGCATAATGTCCCAACTGTGTCTGACATTGCGATGTGTTTTGTCTTCCCCTAGTTTGCAAAAACTGCATCGTGAAGCACTTTTTCCACAGCAACAGGTGTCCCACGTGCAGCATCGTTGTCCACCAGACACAACCACTGTACAACATCAGGTAGGTCTGGTAGTTCTCCACCTATTGGCTGATATGGATCCCCCACCGTACATGTTAAATGAATAGATGGTCGTCAACCAAAACATTTTTCATAGTCCAGTTTTAAGTTATTCAGGAGGAAAAGGTTTTTATAAGTGTGGGGACTTATATAATATACTGTATAAAACTATATAATTATTCTGGAAATTGGAATGCATTCATTTTCTTGTACGTGGAGTTGGTTTTGTTGTCGAGACTGGATTTTTGACATGATGAATTCTGGAAATGTATGGATTTTAGGATTGCTAATCTGCTGTCAATAAAGCAGTCAGTGTTGAGCTTAAAACTCTTTTCCTCTGTCTTTTCTGCAGGCCTGACAGACAGCTGCAGGATATTGTTTACAAAATGGTTCCCTTCCTGGAGGAGTGTAAGTACAGTATAAAAAGTTGGATGTAGTTTAAGGTTATTCATGTACATTATGTGTCATTTTGTGTTTGAATTCTAATGTGAACTCTTATTTTGTGCAACAGCTGAAAGAAAGGAAATGTGTAACTTCTACAAAGAGAGAGGGCTGGCGGTGCCAAAACCAGGTAACAGCTCACTACTAAAGGTTTAAGTACGAACGCTTGTGATCCTCTGCTGTGAGTAATGTAACATACGATGTTTCACTGTCATTCTGGGTTAGAAATACACACAGCTCATTCTGTGTGAATCAGTTCTACACACCTGAACATATTCCGCATAGAATATGCAGATCTGGGCTGAGATTTTGCTCCTTAAGTGTCAGGTTTTACTAACTGTTATTTTAGTGTGTAAGCAATCGTAAAAAACTGAATACCTGGGCGTCCAAAGATAGATTTATTTAGCATACGTTTTCGAGCGGAATGTGGCAGGGTTCCCAAGTCACGTCACATGGTAGCACATGCAGGTTACTACTTAAGATGCTGAAATGCTCAGTGATGTGAGTTACATTGCCCTCAAAATGTAAATATTAGTCACTGCTGGCTGGTGATTCAGTCTATGAATCAATTTGTGATCATTTCTAAGCACATTCGAGATTATTTCATAGATAAGTTATAGCCTTGGACTGCATGATCAGACCTCCACAGACAGGAACGTATTCGTGAATGCAACGATCCCCGTCATGCCACTTAGAGCATCACTAAAAATGTCCTGGAACAGGCCAGAAAAATGGGTTCTCAAGAAAAGAGGGAACCCTGTGGGGTCAACCACACACACACTTCTCTGCTATTGGTTGAGGCTTCTACTTTGCCGGTTAAAGTTCGCCACTGGAAGCGGATGTTTTGTTCGCCCCCTTCACTCACGTAGAATGGAAGTGAACCACCCTGTGTTGTTTTCTCTCTGCTGCTCTGCAGTGGTGGTCTCCCCTCCGGGTCCCGTGGCGATAAAGAGGCAGAAGAAGGAAAACATTCCCCAGTCCATGTTCACCATTCCTCCTGAGCTGGATGTGTCTCTGCTGCTGGATTTTGTTGGGTAAGGATCTAAAGCTGCTCTCCAGCATTAGTTAGCAGCTATATAAGCAACGAAAGCTTCTCAGACATTCTGCATATGTAGATATGATTTAAAGGCACGACACAAAGGAAATGTTGTTTGCAAATGTATTAATCCCCGTTGATTACGGATCTTTACTGGTTTTTATTGGCTCATCTCGATAGTGAGATGTTGCAATTGATTAATTAGACACACCTGGTGTCAGGTTGCATTCTGATTCAGATTCAGATTTTGCTGTCTGTTTCCTTGTAACAGTGTTCTAACAAGTCTTACCAACAACCATTTTCTCAGCAGTCATTGAACTTGTCATAGCAGTAAAAGCACAGGTGTAACTAATCACATTAACAACACAGCTAATCAGAAGACATGCTCAGCACCCTGCGGCTCGCAGCCCGATAAACGGATGCAAATTAAATGTTTTTAATCACATTAGGGCTTTTGCAGCTATGACATGTTCAAAAGTCTTGTGAAAAAGGTCTAGTTGTGTTCTCCATGTCCCGCATAGAAAGTGCAAACTCCCAAGTTAGTTCAGTGTGAAGTTGCAGTGCTGTCACAGCTAGGGTGAAACCATAACCTGCACGCTCATTGCTGTTAGTTTGCATTGTGTTCCAGGTGTAAATCATTACCTAATTAACAAACAGGCAACCACTGCTGCTCTCTAGTCTCTTGTTGTTATAGACGATAAATAAATGAATGACCAGCTCCAGGTGTATTTCTTCTCCTTTGAGGAAAAAGTGGAACCCAGTTTAATGCAGTTACCCTCCAGTTACATATACCTGCCACTAGATGGTCCCATTGTCTTCAATTGAATACTTGCTATGTAACAATAAGTTGTCCTCACTCATTGACTGCGCTGTTGCTTTCAGGGCTGAAGAGGGCATCGATAACTACAAGGTAACAACGTAAATGACACTCCTTTATAGTCTTTGAATCAGTTCCATTCTTCTGTAGAACTTTGATTGAGTGTGTTCCACTCTGACCTCCCTGTCCCCGTTCAGCCCTTAGAGAGGCGGTACGTCCGCGTGTCGGGCGAGGCGACTGTCCGCCACGTGGAGCTGTTCATCAGGAGGAAGATGGAGCTGAGCGCCACCTGCCAGGTGAGTCTGCCAGGCTCTCAGCTGGTGACAGGACCGCTGGCTTGATCCTGACGGTTGCTTTAGACGGACTTGGAAGCGGGACGGCAAAGGAAGCCGGCATTACAGCACATGGTGTAGGAGGGGACAGGGTCATGCTGGTGTGTGTGAATCAGTGGGGGCCTTTTACAGGTGTTCTACTTCCTCAATAGCCAAAACTTACCTGTCCGAAATAGAAAATATAGGCCTGTCAATAAATACATAAAACCATCAGAGATTTGAACAGTTGGACAAAAAAATTATTCAAATTGTAAATGTTTTCCTTTAACTTTATTGTTGTAATTTACATAAAAACAGACAATTCAAAGGATGAGGATATAAATGATTGTACTTTTCTTTAAATATTTGCTATTTTGGGGGTGTTAGTTGTTAAATCATGTGTTATAAGCTGCTTTGAACTTGTATTAGGAAGTTAAATAAGTCACAATTCCATCTCTAATATATATTTTATGTTGCTGCTCAAGTTTCTCACAAACACTACATTTTACTAGATTACATTTGAACACGTCATAACGTTGTAATTTAGCTACGTGCTTGAACGCACCATATTGTAACCAAGCTGAGCCTCAGCAGGCGATTTCTTGACTATATAAATGTACACTGAAGTCCACACTTAACATGTTCGTGTTGCATGTAAATAGTTTTTACAAATTGTAAAAGGTCTTTGAAAAGATGATTATAACTTTATCACAATATAAGTCACATGACGAGCCGAGAACGTTGATAAATACAGCCGGGTCTACTGCGGACACAACAGGAGTTGTGTGATGTATTTCCTTTACTTGTTTTGCCAGGACGCTATAGCAGCACAGGACAGAGCTGTAAATCAACTTTGTCATTATGTTATTAAAAGACACAGCACCTTGTCAGCATTATTACAGTGTTAGAGAAAGGAAGGAGACGACACAGCTTTGGTGAACTGGCGTTGCCACCAGGACTGGAAATAAATGTGATTATCAAATGTAATCTAACCAACTCGTCAAAGAGGGAGGGAGATCATGAGTGGAATAGAAAGTGCACAGCTGTCGGAAAACGTGTGTAAGTCTGCAGTTTATCAGTCGAGTGTATAAACTACACTGTAGACTGGACTCTCTGCTAACAGTTACAGGCAAAATCTTGTGTCAAAAGTGTGTTAATAAGTAGATGTGCGTCTGCTGTCTCAAAGGAGTCAAAGGCGACTGGACTGTGTGGTCTTGAAGAGGTTTCCTCCGTTTTGTTGACTGTTGAACTTTTCACCTCATCATGAGACTCGTGTCAACGTCGGCCATTTATCCAAAGAATGGAAACATGAGCGGAGAAAAAAAGAGAAATGCACACGTGAACACTCGGGAGACAAAACACCTGCTGGGTATGAGCAGAAATACCCAACATAAGAGGGCAAATGCTTGGGTCAAAACTCAGCAGGGTGTCTGCATCTAAAGTACAACGGACACTCCTTAAGAACACGCTTAATCTGATTATATTCACATAATTAGTGCAGCGATACCGCGCATCTGTCTCACAGCACTGGGAGAGGCCTCATGATTCCAAATATGAGTGTTACAAACAGAGGCGTCCTCCCTTTCCTCAGAGACGAACAGAAACACTAAAGTGGGTTCAGGTGATGGTGCGTTTGGTATTTAGGAACACGTGGAGGAGGATTAGGAGCTTATGTTGATTTCCCGGCCTGTCTGGATGAACCTAGAGAGGACAGAGAAAGAGACTAACGAGAGGTCGCCGGTCATTGTAGCAGCGGTCACAACCGTTGTATAACTGCTCCTTTTAAATTCTCATATTGTTATAACACTTTTTTTAAATCATTGGTTCTGACTAGTTGTAGTCCAACCCATCACCTCCTTCCAGTTTCTCATAAATATCCAAGGCTTCTCTTGTATGTTCAGTGTTTTGGTCAGTTAGAGTTTTGTGTAGGACCGACCTGAATGCCTTGAAACTTACTGGCATAATCACGAAAAACTGTTTCTCTGTGTCCTGCAGGTGGACGTGGTTTGTGGAGACCACCTCCTGGATCACTACCAGTCACTCAAAGACATACAGAACTCTGTGGGCGAAGAGGCACTACAGGTGAGCCCCTCAAAAAACACACCATCGGAACCAAACCGTAACTTAAATGATGGAAGCTATGGGGGTACTTTTAGGTGATGCTTTTGGTGTTGTGTCCCTTCTGCTCCAGGACGGTCTGCTGGTGCTGCACTTTGGCCTGGTCCTGCCCTCCCAGTCTTTAGAACAAGAGGGGTGAACAGAACTTTTGGGTTTTGTTTCTCTTCATCAGACTCTTGTGACAATGTGCAGTAAAGTTTCTACACTGGCATTATAGGTACTCCACAGCTGCCCAGCATGTCTTGTTGGGATCGTCCCTTTCTGCCAGCAAAATGTTTGGTAGCTGGTGACCGGCGAGACATTCCTCAACCTCAACTCCTCTGTTCACGCCGTAGTGTCAAATGTTCAACTCGACTCATTGACTCGTATTCAGGGCGAGCCATGTGTCTGCAGTGTGCTTCCACTGACTGCTGCTGTAGCTGAAACTGTACTCTGCTTCTGTCAGTGGGTCTGTAACTTTGAAGCAGTCAGTCTGTGAAGGTAACACGACGTCTAGTCTGAAAAGATGCAACAGTCGACTTTAGCTATTTTTTTTCTATTTATGCTCTCAAGGGCCGAGTGGGATTTCAGATGAACAGTTGAGATTTTAAAGGGCTTGAAACTACAACTACCAAAGTGTGTGTGTGTGTGTGT